CCATTTTGAATAATATTGCATGAGTTCCTTGTTTTTCAATGCAGCATAGTATTCCATTGTGTGAATATACAGATCATTCTTAAGACTATAATGTTTTCAGAAAGGGGTGTGTGTGTGTGTGTCAAGGTTGTATCCTATAAAAAGGAGTGTAGGAAGCATAGGGATAGCTGTATCTGACCTCTACTAATGTCACAAAGAGGAACTGTCCCCATCAACAACATCTACAGTACAAAATCAATTCGTGTAAGGTCAGACATGGTCTCCCATGCTCCTGCACCTACTTCTACTAATTCCAACACCAATTTTATAGTTGTTCTATGAGGTCCAAAATCTAGATTTCAGAAGAGTTGGTGGATTCAAGCTGTGTACCTTTGGGTTCCCAGTATAATTCTTTACCACTGAGCCACCAGATCTCCCTATCTTCAGAAGGAGTAGTCAAAAAGTCAAAAGACATATTGCTTTGGGGAAATATTGCTACAGAAGACTTCTTTAAGGTATTGAAAAGTAAAATTACGACTTTGAGGACTAAGATGTGTCACATCCAATCTGAAGTATTTTCAATTCTCTCATATGCATTTGAAAGTTGGACAATGAGTAAGAAAGACCAAAGAGGAATTGATATATTTGAATTATAAGGCTGGCAAAGAATGTTGGATATACCATGGAATTACCAGGAAAATGAACAAGTCTGCCAGAAGTACGTAAACTTCTCCTCAGAAACAAGGTTGGTGAAGCTTTGTCTCATATTTTTGGATATGTTATCAGAAGGAACCAGGTCCTGGAGAAGGACAGCATGCTTGGTAAGCAAAAGAGGAAGCCCCTCCTCATGAAGGTTTGACCCAGTGGCTACAATAATGGGTTTCAAACAGTAACTATTGTGAGAGTGGTGTGGTGTGGGTAGTATTTAATTTTGTTTTATAAAGGATCATTATGAGTTGATACTAACTTGATGGCCACTCACAGCAACAACAACAACAATGATGAATGATAGACAGCAGAATGACTGTTCGTCCAAAGCACTGGCCATTAAGTTAGTAGCTGTGTACACCAGGATTTCAGTCTAGATCATATTGTTGTTATGCACCATCGAGTCAACTATAATTCGTAGGGGTCCTATGAACAATGGCTCTAAACCTTGCCCTATCTTGAGCCAACCTCACCATCTCTGACACACCTGATTCATTGTCACAGTCACTGTGTTAGTCTGTCTTATCCAGGGTCTTCCTCTTCTGTAATTACCCTTTACTCTTCCAAGCATGATGTCCTTCTCCAAAGAGTAGTTCCTCTTGGGGACATGCCCAAAATGTGTGAGCTGGAGCTTGAAAATCCTTGCTTCCAATGAGAGGACTATTTTCACCCTGTCCAGGACAGACTTATTTGTTCTCTTGGCAGTGCATGGCATTTGGTGGTTGTTGTTGTTATGTGCCATGGTGTCACTTGTGACTCATAGCAACCCAATGTACAACAGCCCTAAACCCTGCTCTATCCGGTGCCAATGGCACACACCCATCCCGATTACCCCAGTCACTGAATCAATCCACCTCACGCTCCCAATCATGATGTTCCTCTCCAAGGACCTTACAACATGTCCAAAGTATGTCAGACGAGGCCCCAGAATCCTTGCTTCCAAGGAACAGCCTGGTTTAACCCTCTCCAGGACAAATCTGTTTGTTTTCTTAGCAGTCCAGGGTACATTCAATACTCTTCTCCAGCACCACACCCCAAAGGCATCAATTCTCCTTCTATCCTCCCTAGTCATTGTCCAACTCTCTGATGC